TTGAAACTTGGCATTTTAATAATGAAATGGAGATCTTTTTCAAAGGTTGAAACCTCATTTAATTTTATGTCTTATAGGATTTATACTGGGTACAATACTGTATAACTGTAATAATTCAACTGTAAACCTGAAAATGTACAGCCAGTTTTATAAGAGATACATCCTAGCTCTGAAAACTGTTATTGAATATGTCAATGCTGATGTAATGAAATGCTTCTTCTAAGTATATGGTTATTAAATAAATAATTAACTCTATAGATAGATGATAGATAGATAGATAGATAGATAGATAGAAGATAGATAGATAGATAGATAGATAGATAGATAGATGATAGATAGATAAAAAGGTAAAATTTAGGAGTTCTTCCAAAGTTAGGAATGTTAAGACTATTTTCCAGTTATTTCTCAAACTTGAAACAGCTTCTTCAACTGCTAAAATAGATCTCTTTTGAATGTTCATTTTGATATTAATTGTATAGTACTTTTTCCTTATAGATTGTTGAAATCTACTCTTTATCTGAAAACCTTGTATTTTTTCATGAAAATTCAATACATACTGAATTTGAAATACCTCATGGGTTTTTCTTGTTGCTCTAAATTGTTTTTCACTCAGAGTAACACACTGTAGTTTAATCATAGTACAGAAAGAAGACCTTAAGCAGAGACTCTGACACCCTTAAAACATTGTGGGCGTCGGCAAGTTTAGGGTCTAAACAAGGCATGGAAGAAGGCAGAGGGTTTGAAAGAGGGAAATGTAGAAGGTTCTAAAGAAGAAATGCTACAGTGCTGCCATACAGGTGGGAGGGCAGCAAAATGTAGCCTTGTGTAATATTTAATAGAATAGACTGGCAATAATCACACTTGGATTTTAGCCTTTTACTTAATAGTTATGAGATTTTGTACATGTTACTCAATTATCATGCTTCATGTTCCATAAATAGGTTAGTTATTTTAGTATCTACCTCATTGTTGTGAGTTTCATTTGAAATATATGTCAAGCATTCACAAAGTGACTCTCAAAATATGTTAGCAATGAAAAACAAAAATAAGCCAGCCTTTTCAACATCCTTTCAACAAATGTTTCTTGATCAACTGAATATCCATGGGGTTGGGGGAGGCACTAGCTACAAAGATCATTTATTATAAACATAAATGTAAAGAAAAGAAAAAACCCACTATTTACAGTTCACATTTCCTAGAGTCAATGCTTAATACAGAGCTATAGTTTTTATAACAGTATGTTATTGGCATAAAATAATTATGTAGTCCAATGGAATTGAATTGAGAATCCAGAAATAAACTAATATTTCTGTAGCAAATTGAATTTTGACAAAGGTGCTAAGAACAGACGGGGAAAGAGTAGTTTATATAGCAGGTGGTGACAGCTAATATCCACATGCAAAAGGACCTCTGCCTCACACCATATGCAAAAGTTACCATTAAATCTAAATTTAGCAAACTAAATAGAATAATTTCTAAAACTCTGAAGAAAACATTGGGTTAAATATATATGATCTTAGATTTGGCAGTGGATTCTGAATAACATAGCAAGAGCATGAGCAACAACAGCAACAAGAAAATGGATTTCATCAAAACTAAAAATGTGTGTGTGTGTATCCGAATGCATGCATTATCAAAAAATTAGAAAAGCCTCCTTACAGAATGATAGATTGTATTTGCAAATCATATATAGTGTTCCCTCTATCCACAGGGATTTGGTTTCAGGACCCCACTGTGATGCTAAAATCTACACATACATTAGTCCTTTACATACAGTGGGGTACTATCAAACCTACACATATCCTCAGATATACTTTATATTATCCTTAAAGTTACTTGTAACTAATAATTAACAAACTAATAGATGTTCTAATGTATCATTTAAGGGATAATGGCAAAATATGTGTACATGTTCAGTACAGATACAGAGTTTTTGTTTTTTTCCAAATATTTTCCATCAATGGTTGAATTCATGAATGTGGGATCCACTGATACTAAAGTCAACTGATTGACTGTTGTTTCATAAGGGTTTACTATCCAACATATATGAAAAACCTAGAACGCAACAACAACAACAAGAAACCCTTAACAGCTTACACTTAAAATGGACAGAAAAGTTTAATAGGCATTTCTCCAAAGAAGGTATACAGAGGGCTGGAGAGATGGCTCAATGGTTAAGAGCACTGGCTGTTCTTACGGAGGACCTGGGTTTGGTTCCCAGAACCCACATGATGGCTAACAACCGTCAGTAACTCCAGTTCCAGGGGATCCAGCATCCTCTTCTGGTCTCTATGAGCAATGCATGCAGGTGGTGCATCTCCATACATGCAGGCAAAACATTAATACACATAAAATAAAAATAAATCTTTTAAAACATTTCAAAAAAACATAAGAGACCAAAAGCAAATTGTAATTACCAGAGTATGGAAAGAAGGGAACATAGTTTAGGACTGAAATCTTTCAGAGTTAGGTAGATGTGGTAGTTATACAACATTCTGAATATACTAAATAAATTGTACACTTTAAAATCACTTCAGTTTTTAAAAAAAACTGGAACCATAAAGCTTTCAGAAGAAATATAGAATTTTCTTAAGAGAGAGGCAAAAAATTATTTAATAGCAATAAACAATAACCTTAAAATGAAGGTAAAAAAATAAATGAACTATGGAGATGTACTGCCGGGCAGTATTAAGGACCACTGGGAGTGAGGATCATGAACCTAAGATGCCATTGGTGAACATATTTGTGTACCACAACTAAAAATGGATAGAAGTTGATTTCATCACAATTAGTAGTTTTGCAAGATAAAAGGTAAAGGATTTGAGGATATGTACAGGAGTGATTGAAACCAATGACAAATGGAATTTCATTCCTGTTTAGTAGGGAGATGATAATACAGGAGTTAGACATGAAGGACAGTAAAATACAAGATCAGATAGGTATAAGATAGGAGGAACCTAATGATTGTTGAAATTGTTGTGTTCTAGAATATATTTTGATGCTATCAAGGACTATTTGTGAATGTATATTGTTCATTATATAAGGTTGAAAATTGCATGAAAGAGGACTCAAGACAAAGTTCAAGCTATCCCTTAGGTACTGTCTAGGACTGCCCTATCTTTCTTCCTTACTCCTTGAAAGCCTGTGGGAAGCTACTCTGATCCTGAGATGTGTCTGGACTACAGTGCTGTTTACTTTCACAGATCAATAAAACTGTTACAGGACCAAATTCACTAGAATTGTGGTCAGTAAGTATTAAAGGAAAAGAAAAAAATCTAAACTCTGCTTTATGATATTTAAGATTTAAAAGATTCTGATGAAAAATATTTGGAGAAGTCTTATAGCATTGCTTATTTCAGTAACTTGCCTAGTAGAGCTCACACCTTGGACAAGGCAGGTAGTTTTATTGTAGATTGGTAGTGTTCATTTTTAATGTGACTTCCAAAATATTATCTTGAATAAGTCCAATTGCTCTTTGAGCTCCCTTTAAATAGCACTTATTTTTCTTTGTGATATAATAAATACTCGAATCTGTCTCCTCTCTATTTAGCTTCTTCCATATTTTATAGAAGATTCTAAAGTGGCTGTTTTACCTCCAGTTTGGCAGTCAGCTAGTCAGTCCTCTGAGCTTACCAGATGGTAATACATTTAAGCAAACATAAACTTTGTACCAGACACTGTTCTAAGCAGTGTACTCATACTAACTGAAGTAGATTCCGTTATTAGCTGCATTTTCCAGATGTAGAAACTGAAGGGATGGCTACCTACCTACCTAGTTATCAGTGGAACAAAGTCCAAGCCCAGGCTTCTAGACTTTGTCAGTAATACAAGCTTTCATATACCATGTCAAGTGACTTCTTAATCTTTTTATTTTTATTTTATGTGTATGAGTGTATTGCCTGCATGTGTGTAAGTGCACCCATGTCATGCAATGCCCACAGAGGTCAGAAGAGGGCGTTGGATCCCCTGGAGCTGGAATTACAGACAGTAGTTAGCTGCTTTGTGGGTACTGGGATTCAAACCCTGGTCTTCTGCAAGAACAGCCAGTACTCTTAACTGCTGAGCCATCTTTCCAGCCCCCATGACTTCTTAATCTTAACAATTCAGTGGTTCCCATTATAGGATGAAGCTTAAGCTCCTAGGCATAGTGAATCAGATCACAAAAGACATCCTAATTCCAGGCTGCTTGTGTGGCCCCTGATACACAGTGCTTTTTCACGTGTGTACATTTACTCCCTCCCCCTTCAGCTTGCTAGCTCAGCTTGCTCAGGTTACCCTGCAAACTGAACGTGTTGGCACATTCCTGTAATTCCAGCACCCTAGAGCTGGAGACATGATGGTTGCAAATTCAAGATCAGCCTGAGCTACATAGTAAGACCCTGCCTCAAAAAAGCAGAACAAAAGATGTTTCCCCTTAAGCCTCATTCCACATTTGCCTTCTCGAAACCTTGACCTTTGCCTTGTGTTCCATTGCCTACATGTCACCCTGTCCCTTGTGTCTTTATCATTAATGTTATTCATTTCCATCATCACACTGATCACATTCGATGGAAACTATATCCATAGGCATGAGCTGTGTCTTATAATCATGAATCACACTTTGTAAAGTATGTTTGTTTGTTTATTTGCAGCTGATCATTCGTGCTCATGGCTTCCAGGGTCATAAACCAAAGAAGACACATGGGACTTCAACAACTTGCATCATTTGCAGAAACAGGAAGAAGTTTCCTAGGCCCACTAAAGGCCTCCAAGTTTATTATGGATGTAGAGCATCATGAAAGCGTGTTAATCAGCTCAACACTCAGGCTTCTTGGAAGTTTGGATTTAACCAGTGCAGTGGGGCAGCTTCTCAATGAAGCAGTTCAAGCACAAAATGGCACATACAGAACTGGAATCAGTACTCTTTTGTTTCTTGTTGGTGCGTGGAGTAGTGCTGTTGAAGAATGTCTCCACCTTGGTGTCCCCACTGCAGTAATAGTATCAGTAATGTCAGAAGGCTTGGACTCTTGTATTGAAGCACTAGTTTCCCTTCAAGTACCCATCCATGATATATCTGATCATATGAACAACACAAGTACAGCTTACAAAGAAACAGTTGATGTCAGTTTGTGTCCTTTTGTACAAGTTCCTTCAGATACTGGTTTGGTAGAGAAAAAGCATGATTTCAAAGATCCTGAGTTTCAATTAGTGGCCACTTACAATCTTTGTGGGAAACTTGCTAAATCACCTAAATTCTTCAAACCTTGGGTTAAGGTTGAAACAGATAAAAACTTACCACATGCTCTGAAAAACAGCCTGCATACAGACACCTACCACAGAAAGTCAGCACTAACTCACAGTAGGTATTTTCATAGGACAGATAATAGCCATTGGGTAATCAAGCCTGATGGATTTCTAGAATGTGGTACAACTTCTCCCCAAACTTCCAGATGTAATGATTTAGCAGAGTTAGCAGCTGGCTTGAGCCATGGAGACCACAGCAGTATGACAATGGCAGAAGCTGCAGTGAGACTGCAGTGGCAGAATTTGTGCCTGCAGCAAGCCAGCCGCACGATGCCACTTGTGTTTGACATTTCAAGACTCCTCACTTACTGTCTCCCAGGCTTACCTGAAACTTTTTCTTGTGTTTGTCTAGGATACATCACTGCTGTACCTGAGTCTAGTTTTACTCTGATCAAGGAATTGCAGAATCAACCTGTCCGGGTAGCTCTCATTGAGGGTGACCTCACAGAGAATTACCGCCACCTGGGATTTAATAAGTCTACAGATATTAAGACAGTGTTACATAGTGGGAAGCTCCCAATAAAGAGCTCAGAAGAACTGTGGACAAATCATGTGTTACAGGTGTTAATCCGGTTTAATGTGAACCTCATCCTAGTACAAGGAAATGTATCTGAACACTTGACTGAAAAATGCATGCACAGTAAGCGGCTGGTAATTGGGTCAGTTAATTGCAATGCACTGCAGGCATTTGCAGAGGCTGCAAGAGCAGTGCCAGTGACCTATGTTACACAAGTGAATGAAGACTGTGTGGGCAGTGGGGTCTCTGTGACTTTCTGGAGAAGTCCCCAAGACGTTAAAGATCCTATAGATAGGAGCAACAGAATGGCAATCTTGTTAAAAACAGAAAGAATTAATTTGATCACAGCCGTGCTCACTAGCCCAGTAAGTGCACAGATGCAAACCAAGGAAGACAGGTTTTGGTCTTGTGCATATCGTTTGCATCACGCTCTGAAAGAGAAAAAGGTCTTCCTTGGAGGTGGTGCTATTGAATTTTTATGCCTTAGCCATCTTCAAATTCTTGCTGAGCAATTTTTAAATAAAGGAAACCATGTCTATTCAGGATGGCTTCCTAGTAATTCCTCTTGGCTGACCTCATCTCTGTCAATCTACAGACCTACTGTTCTGAAGTGCCTGGCAAGTGGGTGGCACAAATACCTCTCAGCTGTCATGTGTAACACTGCCTCTCACTCATCAGCATTGGAAGCCAGCATGTTCATTCAACATCATGTACAAAATGCCAATGACTCTGGCTCTCCTTCATCTTACATCTTGAATGAATATAGTAAACTAAGTAGTGGAGTTTTTCATCCAGATATTTCAAATAACCTAGAGTGGGTTCCAAGAGTTTATGATAATGTTATACCAAAGATTGAGGCTTGGCGCCGAGCCTTAGATTTAGTACTCTTAGTACTTCAGACAGACAGTGAAATTATTACTGGACTTGTACATACACAGATGAATTCAAAGAAATTAAATGGAGTTTTATTTTTGTAAGGTTATCTAAATCTTTAAGACATAATATTAATAAATTTTCTTTCAGTTTTTTTTTTTTTTTGGTGTATGTGTGTGTGTATGCGTGTGAGGTGTGTGTGTACATATACATGTGTGCAGGTGGCCAAGGAGGCCAGAAGAGGGTATCAGAACCCCTGGAGCTGGAGTTATAGGTAATTGTAAGCTGCCCAGTGTAGGTGGTGGGAATCCAACTTGGGTCCTCTGTAAGAGCAGCAAGTGCTCTTAACCACGGAGCCATCTCTCCAGCCCTAATAAAAATTTTAATAGTCAAATCATAGTGCCTACATTGCTAGGTATTAAGAATAAAAAGAGTTGATACCTATCTAACTGCAATGTCTGAATTTTTTACCTTACTTGTAAGCTAACACTAGCCTATTACAGATTCATGGGTACTATAGGATATGTGAGACAGCTGGATCAGAGGCAAAGAGCTTTTACTATCCACAGCAGAAACTATCCAGAGTGTTATGTTGGTTTCATCAGTTCCCTTCTTTTTGTTCCACAAGAGGACACACAGGTGAGTTGGTTGAAGGGGAGGAACACTCAGCTTGGAATGGTCACTGCTTAAGCAGAAACAAACCTACTTGTCCACAGAGGTGATTAGGTCATTCAGGGTTGCTGAAGGCAGACCAGCCTTGGACATGGACTAAGTAAAAATCAACCAAGCCCTTACAATCTTCACATTTACAGAAAGTATAGAGACAGACACTTCGCAGTGGAGCACCTCTTCCATCAGTCTGTGTCAGTTTGTAGTAGGCTGGGGTTGCTGGAAAACCCGGGGGAATAGGATTGCTGAAAATTACTGTAATTTTGAAGATGAGATTCACTGATCAGAAAATGATAGAAATAGAAACTTCCCAGGGTTGGAGATCTAGCTCAGTGAAAATGATGACAGCAAGAAGGTACCAGCTTCCAAGATGCATTTAGAGTCTAATAAGCATGGGTCTTAAAATTAGGAGAACTTCACTCAGATTCTTCCTCCCTGGTGACTTTGGGCAAGTCATATTACTTCTCTTAAGCCTGCGTCTTTTTATCTGTAAAGTACACTTAACACTGAGAGGACTGGACATGACCTCACATCCCCACACAGAAGCACAGGCATCCCGCAAAACACACACACACACACACACACACACACAGACCCCAAACACAAAGGTAATGAAAATTAAATGACCATATGTTCTAGTTTGCCTTCAATTGCTATGACAAAACACTGACCAATACCAACTTGGGGAGGAAAGGGTTTATTTGGTCACAGTTCATCAAGAGCCCAAGGTAAGACCTGAGGGCAGGAGTCTTGAAGGCAGGAACTGAAGCACATGAAGGAATGGTTCTTACTGGCTTGGTTCCCTGGCCCATGCTCAACCTGCTTTTTTTACAATACAGGATCACCTGCTGGGCCTTCCAGTATCACTCAACAATCAAAAAAAAAAAAAAAAAAAATGTCCCACAGACATGGCAACAGGCCACTCCAATGGAGGCATTCCCTGATAGAGGCCCCCTCTACCCAGGTGTGAAAGTTGACAACTAAAGCTATCCAGCACACCAGATATATTGTGATAAGACTAACTACATTCAAGTATCAAAGTAGATGAGGCAGGCATTTGAAAGTTTGTTGTGAAGCCTGAGATTTAATATTGTAATTTAGTGATCATCTCTATCACTTCCCAGCCCCTCCTGCTTTATAGTGATTGAAAAATGAATCACGAGCAAAAAGGGTGGGGTGGGTGCTCATTGAGATGTCTCTGTACCAGTTAAGAGGTGTGTCATTGTTCAAGTGGCTTGAGGTGACTTGGCTGTAGGAGAATTAATAATGGCAGTAATAGTAAATTTGGTACAGGCCTTTACCTTGTTAAGAGTCTCCCTAATCACTGGTGGCCTGTTCCTGTGGGCCACTTCCAAACACCAGGCTATTTTCTCCCATATGGGTTTGCCAGCCTAACCCAAGCTAGGGAAGCTTCATCAGAAACAGATTTGGGTAAATCCACCTTCTCTCAGCCCCCCTGGAGATGTGCCCTTGTCATCTGTTACAAATCCTGCTACCACCTGTTTACTTCAGTACTGTGTGTACATAGAGCAGTTTCAACCCTGACTTCCTGAAGGAGTATCTAGGGAGCTACATTGGCAGATGTTAAATTTAATTAGGTCAGAGTGCCAAGCATTGGTATTATTTTTAATTCCCTGTATGATTATAGTATGCAGCCAGAATTGAAAACAACTCACTAAAGGAATAGTTTTGCTCTTGCTCTGTGGTCTCAATCTGTCTTGCTTCCTGGCTTCCCCAGCCTCTAGCTATGGTGGACTTAGAGATGTATATGAGCTGCTACCAGAAGCAATTGCTCACATTGATTAGGGTTGGTCTTCCAGCTTCAAGTACTCTGATCAAGAAAGTTCCTCATGTTTTAATTAATTCCAGATCCAGTCAAGTGACAACCAAGATCAGCCATCACATGACCCCAAAATAGCATCATCAACCATGCTGCCTGTTCTACTTTTTTGTCTGTGTTATGATAAATAACGTGACCAAAAAAAGCAAGTTGGAAAGAAAAGGGTTTATTTCATCTTACATCTTGCAATGCTCATGGAGGGAAGCAAAGGCAGGAACTGAAGCAGAGACCACAGAGGAAATAATGCTGCTTTCTGGCTTGCTACACCTAGCTTGCTCAGCTACCTTTCATGTACACCCTAGGTCCACCTAGCGATGGCACCGCCCATGGTTGGCTGGGCCCTTCTATAACAACTAGCAATTGAGAAAATACCTCACAGACATGCCAGTGGGCCAATTTGGTGGCAGAAATTCCTCAACTGAAGTTCTTTCTTCCCACGTGATTCCAGTTTGTATCAAGTTGACAAATACTAACCAGCCTACTGCCATATGATCTACTTCTGTGAATCAATATAGTCAGTAATTTCCCCAATAGTCTTAAGTAGAGTTCAATGGTGTCATTCCTTCACAACAGCCTACCATTATCTGTTTACCGTGGTCCTACTCCACCTTCACTCAGCCCTGGTTTGGGAGACAACAAAAGGTTTTTGCAACTTTAAGACTGTTACAGCCACATAAAGCTGTTAATTCTCCCAAGCTCTTAGTTACCCTTTATGCTTAAATTAGCTCATTTGGAATTAATTCTGTTAGACTATATGGATTAAGAACCTAAACTGTTCCAAAAGTTATCAACAATACTAAATTTTCATTGTTCACTCAGATAAGTCTTAGCAATGATGAAGAAAAGAGAGAGAGAGAGAGAGAGAGAGAGAGAGAGAGAGAGAGAGAAGAGATCTCATTCTTGGTTGCTGAGAAATATTTCAGTGTCTCTTTAGCTAGGATTCATATTGTTTGGTATTTTATTTATTTTAGCCACAACAGTGCTAATTATTAACTGAAAAATAATATATTAGAGAGGTGAAGGCAGTATCCTTCTCATAAAACATCTTCCTGTGTTATATCCACAGTTACTCTCCTAAAGAAGTGGGTTAAAAACACTTTTGCTTGGTGCTCTCAAAAACCTAACCATGCCTTCTTTCCTTTGACCTGTAGGTGGCAAACTTTGCATCCTGTGGGCCCTAAATTTCACCATTTTTTAAATCTGCAAAGTCAAAGGAGGTTGTGAGCAGGTTAGTGCCCACCTGCTGTGAGGGCTTTTACTGTAAAGGGGCTCTGAGGGAAGACCCTTCTTTATTGTCTGTGCTGGAGTCCTGCCTCTGCCCTTACCGATGGTAGCTTGGAAAAGGGATTCGGGTTCTCTGGACCTAGTACCTCATCTTTAAATGACAGAGCTGAATGACACCACTGTTGCTGTGATCTCCAGCTCTAAATTCCACACCTCTAGTTGCCATTTTTATCCTTGACTGATTTTGAATTATAATGAAGCCCATTTGACAGGGAGAAATAGATTAAATGATTTTTCTCAAAACATAATAAAGCCAAACTTGAAAAATTATTACCTACCCAACAATGTGAATGCACTTAATAGTACTAAATCACACACTTAAGATTAAAATAGCAAATTTATTATATGCATTTATGTCATGTGTTTTAACCAGATTAAAATTTTCTAAGCAATAAAATTTATTATAAAACTATTGCAACATGTTTATAACATTGGATTTTCAAAAACTGACCAATTATACGTTCAAACTACTATTATAATGATACTTTATTGCAAACCAAAAGCAAAAAATGGTGAATGATACAGAAACACATGAAAGATAAGATACAGAAACAAATTAGCCCATACCTATTGTCACTGTGGCTGTACCAGGGTTCAGTTACAGGTTAAATACACATTTCCAGAAAACAGAGTATGAACTATAAAACTCAATCCATAATAACTTGTTTGTCCTTTTATATATGGAGATATAAGTTAATGGCTATTAGAAAGAAGTCATTAAATCTAAAATGCACATTTCCACAAGGCATGTAAACATTCTCAAATGCTTGCTGTCTTAAACCTGCAAGTAGATCAGTCCAAGCTCGGGTTATATCTGACCTAAATCTTAAACCCAGTAAAGCCAACAATCAAGCCTCCTTAAGTTTACTGTGCTTTTTCAAATATGTACACATGTCACATACACCCTTTTCCTTCTCTTGGCCTCTGGGGTCTCTCTCTCTCTCTCTCTCTCTCTCTCTCTCTCTCTCTCTCTCTGGACCTTGCAATATTGGCATTTTCTTTTCTTCCCATCACCCTTTATTTTCTTAGTCTACAAGCAATCCACCCATTCATATTAAGCATCTCATGCTTGGTTATGTTTTTGTTTGCTTTATACTACTTAGTGAAAATTTGAGTAAGTTACAGAGGGAGTAGATTTCAAAATATGATACCTCACCAAGCCTCCCTTTCTTGTTTCCCTTCACTCCAACTTTCCCTCTATCAGTAAATTTATCTCTAGGGGCTGGAGAGATAGCTCAGTGATTAAGAGCACTGTCTGCTCTTGCAGAGGATCTGGATTTGATTCCCAGCACCAACATGGCAGCTAACAAGCATCTGTAACTCCAGTTCCAGTGGAATCCAATGCTCTCTTCTGACCTCCTCAGGCATTGCATGACACTGGTACACTTACATACATGCAGGCAATACACTCATA